GCCCCTGGGGCAGCCCACAGGGCCCTGCCCACCCCACCCTTTCCCTTCTCCTTGGCATCGCTCGGACGTGTGCCTTTTTTTCTCGGTGGGGATAATCGAGGAGCACCCTGCATCGTCTTGCGAAAAGTAAGCGCGCGAAACCGAAAAATGCACAAGGAATGGACGTCCGAGCGATGGAGAGTTTTCGTCGGGACAAAATCGTGATGCGGAAGAGAGTCGGCCGTCTTCGGCCTCTCGGGGGCCCTCACCGGGCTCCCCGGCCCGGGACCGTCAGGAAACGGCCTGGGAGTAGAAGCCGCCTTCGAGGAAGGGGTCGGAGGCGGCCAAGACGGGTGTGATGACTACGGCAGTTTCCAGTTCAGCTTCAGATTTGCAGTGGGATCGTTCGATGCGGAATGTCTGCCTGCCGCGCCGTCGTCATCTCGTTTGATGGAGACCTGACGTTTGTCCGCCACCTCACGGGGGGGTCCGACTTTGGGGGAAGGGTCGGACGATCATACTGGCGTGTCGCAGAAGGCCATATCCGCCAGGCCTTCCCTGGGCTACCGTGCAGGGTGCATGTTGAGGCCCACATGCGCACCTTTTAAGGCGACTCATAACCAAAGTCGGCAGGGCCTCAAGATGGCTTCCATCATCTAAGCCTGCCATGAGAGAAATACGTCGGGAGGATGTGGAGGCCCTGTTCTGAGGACCTCAACGTGGCCTCAACATGGTGACGGACCCATCCCTGTGCAGTCATGTGTAGTACAGGGCGCGGGTCTCTCTTCATACACTGCGCGCCGCGGGGCAATGCGGAAAGATGGCTGCCGTGGGGCACGCGTGCACGGGTGCGCTGAATTCTTTGTGGGGCACGATCCGCGTGAAGGGCCGCGAGAACACGCCCACTGAGGCCGCAGGTGGACCTTCTCCAGGCATGCCCCGTGCGAGGCATGTTCCGAAATGGACGCGGGGACGCCATGCGAAGTTGCCCATTGGTGCCGTAGGTGGAGCTCTTTCTGGGGCATGATTCGCGTGACAGGTGTGCCGACATGGGCGGGGGGGCGCTGTACGAGCCTTGTCTCTGGGCCTTTAGGTGGTGCTCCTTGTTTGCGCGATCCGCGTGACGGGGTGTGCCGCAATGGCGGGGGGGGTCGCAGTGCGAACCTTGTCTCTGGGGCCGTGGGTGGAGATCCCTATGGGCCACGATCGCGATCCGTGTGCGAGGTGTGCCGAAGTAGGCGGGAGGGCGGGAAGCGAGTCTTATCTTTGGGGCCGTCCGTGGAACTCTTTGCAGGCCACGATCCGTGTGAGAGGAGTGCCGAAGTGAGCGGGGCGATCCTATGAGGCTCTCATCTGGTGCCGCAGATTCATTTACCTGCGGGGCACGGTCCGCGTGAAAAACGCACCACTGTTCGAACCTCGTCCCAGGGGATGTTTGTGGATCTCCCTGTGGGACGCGATCCGTGTGAGGGGTGTTCCGGCACGGGCTGGGCGACCCTAGGCCAAGCTTGTCTCTGGGGCCGCAGGTGGACCTCCCCGAGTTGCGCGGTCCGTGTGACAGTCTATGTCCTTCGATGCCGAACGCTTCAGACTGCAACTAGAGCTTGCTAGAACCGAAGCGCGCGTGGCTCTACTATATACATATATACACACATGTACAAATACAAATACATACACACATACATGTACATAAACATATACTTGCACATGCACATGCAAATATACATAAACATTTACATGTACATATACATGTGCATACACGCTCGTTCTCTTTCTGGTTGTCTCTCTCTCTCTCTCTCACTCTCTCTCCCTCTATACTCTGCCTTTCTCATCTTTATTTGTTATAGTTGTTTGGTTCTCTCTCTCTCTCCCTCTTCCCTTTTTTATCATTCTCTCTCTCTTTCTCTCTTTTTTTTGTTTTTCTCTTTCTCTCTCTCTATATATATATACACGTATGTTCCTATGTATATACTTTTTCAGGGCCGGGGACACCGGACAGACCCCGGACGGAGCCCCCCCCCCCCCCAAACGAGTTTCGGGCTTCCCCGAAATTTTCGGGCGGTCCCAGAGGCGCCCCAGACGGCCCGAGATACTCCCAAGAGGGGTCCACGAGCGCTCCAAGACAGCTCAAGGGCGCTCCAAGAGACCCAAGACCGCCCAAGACCGTGCCAGGGGGCCCCGAGACGCCCCAAGAGGCCTCCAAGAGGCTTCCCAAGAGGGCCCCGAGAGGGACACTCCATAGATTTTTGTATGTTTTTCAGTGGTTTTCCTGGTTCTCCATTTTTCGGGCCAACATCGGCCCGAACCGGCCCAAGAGGCTCCAAAGATCGCCCCCAAAATGGCCCGAGAGGCCCCCCAAAGAGCCCGAAAACGATCCCAGAGAGTCCCAAGACAGCCCCAGAGGGCTCCAAGACGGGCCCAAGAGAGCCCCAAGAGCGCCCAAAGAGGCACCCAAGAGGGCCCCAAGACGCCGCCGGGAGAGCTCCACGACGGCCAAAGGCTTCCAAGACGCCCCAAGATGGCCCAAAAGGGCCCCGAGACGACCCAAGAGAACCCCAACAGGGCCCTAAAAGTGATCCCAAAGGGCCCCAAGAAGACTCACAAGAGGCCCCAAAACGCTACATCACACCAGGGCTCCCAACACTGAGCTTCAATGGCGCCCCCAGAAGCCTTCCAAAATCTCTTTTCCTCCATCTTCTTTTTCTCCATCTCCCTCCTTCCCTTTCCCGTTCTCCTCCTGTTCCCCCTCCTTTTCTGTATGCTCTCTGCTCCTCCTCCTCCTCCTCCTCCTCCTCCTCCTCCTCCTCCTCCTCCTCCTCCTCCTCCTCCTCTCAGCCTCCTCCTCCTCGTATATTTTTGCTCCTTCTGCCTCTCCTCCTCTTCCTCCTCCTCCCCCTCCTCCTCCTGATCTTCTTCGTGTTCCTCTTTCCCACCCCGTCAAGTTTCTAGCAGCACCAGTTCTCCTCTTTCTCCCACTTCTGTTCTGCGGAGTCCTTCCGCAGCCATCGCGGCTGTATCCCAGACCCCCTGATAATACTGAACGATGGCTCCTGGAAAGGCGGATGCGTTCGTGTGCGCTTCCTGCGCTCAATGTTTACCGTCGTCGTTTTCATCGTCATCGTCGTCGTCATCGTGGACGTCGTCGTCGTCGTCGTAGTCGTCGTCGTCGTCCTCGTCGCCCCTGTCTCGACCGGCCCGCCGGCTCGGCCGGCCCGCTGGTTCAGCTCGGCTCGGCTCGGGCTGGCGGCGAAGGAGCGGGAAACGAAGGATGAGGGAAGGAAAGGATAGGGAATGGAAGACATTGTCAGATCGACAACCACGAAAAATGCAACGAGGCGTTATCGCTTTCTTTAACGATGTACATATCTGTCATCCCGCCTGTTTGCTCAACTTGAAGGACCATGGTAGCCTGGCCACTTTCGCCTGCGACCCTCGCGCATTTGAGTTGCGAGATGCCCGGGGCAGCCGGTCAGGCCACTACCGCCTGAGATGCGCATGTGTATGCGCGCACATAGTTACGCAGACAATTTGCATATTCATGTACATGCCCATGCGTGCGTATATTTTTTAAGGTACATCTGCAGTACGTTTCCATGGGCGCATGTGCGCGCGAATGCGCGCACGCACGCACTCCGCTCACGTGCGAAACTCTAGAGGACCAATGTGCGTGGCGCGCAGCGCCAGTGCAGTCTTGTATAAATAAATTCCCCAACCAGAGCTTGCCTCTGTAGGGGTCCTAGCGGATATAAAGCTGAGGTGAGGTGGGCGGCCGATTTCGGTGGCCGGGGCTGGGTGCCCGTGGGTTCCCGGGGGTGCCCGGGTGCCCAGGTGTGGCCGATTTCGGTGGCCGGGTGCCCGGGGGTGCCCGGGGGTGCCCGGGGGTGCCCGGGTGCCCAGGGGTGCCCGGATGCCTGGGGTGCCCAGAAGTGCCCGGGGGTGCCTAGCCCAATAGCTCTATATCCCGATAGCCCAATCGCCATATAGCCCTAAAGCACTATAACCCTATAGCCCTATAGCCGTACCTATACGACCACCCTTCGGGTGATAAGGGGGCTCGGGGGGGGGGAACCAACGTCTCACTCGATCGGTCTCACTATCGATTTCAGTATCGAGCTCACTATCGGTCTCGCTCGATCGATCTCACTCGATCGATCTCACAATCGATCTCACTCGATCTATCTCATTCGATCGATTTCACAATTGATCTCACAATCGATCTCACAATCGATCACACAATCGATCTCGCATTCGGTTTCAATATCGATCTCACTATCGATATTACAATCGCTCTCACAATCAACGTCATCATCATCAACATCATCAACATCAACATCATTACCAACATCGTCATCATCATGAGGGCACCGTCATCGTCATCATCATAAACGTCATCATCAACGTCAACATTATCATCGGGGCAACATCATCATCATCATCATCAACATCATCACCATCATCATCTCATCATCAACATCAGCATCATCATCATCGGGACACAAGCATCGTCACCATCACCAGCAGCATCATCAGAATCATCATCATAATCGGGACACCATCATGATCACCGTCGTTCCCATCATCAACATTATCATCAACATCGTTATCGTCCTCGGGACACCATCGTCATCATCATCATCGCATCATCATCATCGACATCATCATCATCAGCAACATCATCATCATTGGGGTACCATCATCATCATGAACAACATCATCGTCAACATCGTCGTTATCATTATTCTCATCATCGGGACACCATCAGCATCACCATCATCATCATCACCATCATCATCAGCATCTTCATCGGGACACCATAATCAACATCAACATCATCATCATCAACATCATTATCGCCGGGGCACCATTTTCATCAGCATCATCATCACCAACATCATCGGAATCATCATCATCATTATCATCGGGACACCATCATCGTCATCATCATCAACATAATCAGCATGATCATCATCATCCTCATCATCGGGATATTATCATTATCATCGACACCATCCTCAACACCA